AATGCAGTGATTTCCAAGTAGAAGCAATAATTCTACTTTCTTTCCTTTTCATTTATTCATCCCTGGGATACTGTATAAGCTATTATAACTTCACTTTAAGAGGGACGTAAAACAATTGTAGATGTACTCTCAAATGCCACCTTTCTACAGTTACTATCACAGAATTTTGTTTATTTTCTTCATACTTCCCACACTCTTTCATTTTCTTATTGCTTAATTTGTGTACTTGTTTATTTCTTCTCCCTTGGCTAAAATGTTTTCTCCATGAGATTGTGGTTTTGTCTGTCTTTGCGTGGGACAAGGAACTTTGTTTGACGTTTGTCGCTGGTTCCTGAAAAGAAGCCCTGGAAGGTTCCTTTGTTTTCTAAAACAGCCAGGCAACACTTAAACATGCGCAAATGAGTAAGGGCCACAGGCCACACCCTGGCAACAGACCATAGGAAAGCAGGGCATCGTCATGCGGTCAATCATGCATACCCATTGACTGGATCAATCATAACTACACATTGAGGCCCCAATCTTGCAAACTTCATTGAGGTTCCAATGACTTATAAGGGACCCTGGACCTCGGAGCTTTCTCTGTTTAGGGGAGCTTCTTGGATTGGTGAGAACATCCATGCAGAGAGGAGAGGGTGGTATGTCCCTGGGGCTGAGGGAGGCCCAGTGCTAGGAGCTCTCTCAGACCCTGACTGATGAATTTCTCCCTTTGTATCCTTTCTGGTTATAATAATGGGTAACTGTCAACATAAGAGGTTTAAACGTTCCGCTGCTAACTAAGACGCCGGCAGTTTGAATCCACCAGTCGCTCCTTGGAAACCCTGTGGGGCAGTTCTACTCTGTCCCATAGGGTCACTATGAGTCGGAATCGGCTCAACGGCAAAGAGTTTGTTTCGTTTTTTTTTAGGAAGTATAGTCTCCGTAGACTTTGTGAGCCATTTAAAAGAATGCATAAATAAACAAAGAGCAAGGACTATGACTTAGGTCAAGGTGGCTCATTCAGAGAACTGCACGGGTAGCCATAAGGAGAGAGTCCTAACTTGTGAGCAACTGGCTTTGGGCAGCTGGTACACAGAAGAGAGCCCACAGACAGTTGGTTTGTGAAGACCCAGCTCTGGAAAGCTAGGTCACAGAGAAAGGCTGCACGAGCAGTGGGTCAAGAAGGACAGAGTCTTTCTAGTTTGTAACCTGGCCCCAGGGGCTAGAGACAAAGAAGCTGTCTGGTCTAATGTGCAAACTCCTGAATCTGGGGCTGGTACCTGACAACCTGGCCCCTAGTGGTCAGGGATGTTTTGACCTGGCTCATGGTGGCTGAGGATGAAGTCTGACCTTACTCTGGTTGGTTAGGGTCAGAGGAAGTGACTGTTGATAAGAAATGGAGATGTGGGAGAGTGAAGCCTGGCTCCATTTCCGGATGGGAATCAGGTTCATGGTGATCCTTATCACAGTTAGTGATAAAGGTGGGATTTGCCACCTCGCCCCTTTTGTAGCACAGGTGGTAACACTCTTCACTTTTGAATGCTTGGTACTTACTGTGTGGCACGTACTAGATGTTCCATAAAATGCATTGAAAGAATGATGAAAATATTGAAAGTACAACAAATGAGGCAGGGTACAAAGAACTGAGGATTGGACATGGGAAAAAGAACACAGACACTATTTGTACACAAGTAACGTGTGTGTTATATGTTTGTTTTGCCAACTGCACCCTGCCCCCCACCACAAGGTATTTTTGTAAGCACACTATGCTGATTTTTTTTTTTTTTTACACGCTGCTGTTAAAAAAAAAATTAGTGTAACGCACTTAAGAAAATACCTCCTAGGAGGAGGGCAAGGTTGGCAAATAAAAAATCATGTTACACTTGTTATTTGCATATAATATGGTAGTTGTTTTCAAACCAAAATTCTTAGATTGGTTTTATTTATTCAGTGCAGCTCCAGGGGTTTGAACAGTGATCAATTGGCTTAGTTAACTAGTATTGCTATAAAACAAATGTAAGTGGTGGCTTTAAAGACAGAATTTTTTTTTTTCCTCACAGTTCTGAGGGTAGAAATCCGAATCAGGGGTTCAGCTTTGTCCGCTCCGTTCTTGTCAGTAGCCCTGGATGTTTCTTGGTTTCTTGATGTTCCTTACGTGGCATCTGTCTCCCAGGGTGTGTGTGTGTGTGTGTGTGTGTGTGTGTGTGTGTGTCCATGTCTATGTCTATGCTGATTTTTGTACAAGTCAAAACTGATTAGATTTAGGATCCACCATGCATGACCTCAACTGACTGGTTGATTACATTGTATTATGAAAGGTGATTACACGACAGACATAAATCAAAACCAAACCAAATCTGTTGCTGTCTAGTTGATTCTGACTCAGTATGAGTTCACAGTTGTAGGGGTTAGGATTCCAACACAGATTCTGAGGGAACACAGTTCAATCCATAACACCAATGAATAGAAATTAGGGAGAGATTAAAAAAAAACAAAAAACTGTTGTCACCAATTGATTCTGACTCATAGTGACCCTATAGGACAGAGTAGAACTGCTGCATGGGGTTTCCAAGGCTATAATCTTTACAGAAGCAGACTGCCACTTCTTTCCCCTTGGAGCAGCTGGTGGGTTCAAACCTCTGACCTTTCAGTTAGCAGTGACCTGTTCACCACTGTGCTAACCAGGGCTCTTTATAGGGAAAGATAAACCCGTTGCAGTCAAGTCGATTCTGACTCATAGAGACCCTAGAGGACATTGTAGAATTACCCCACAGGATTTCGAAGGATTGCCTGATGAATTCGAACCAGTGACCTTTCAGTTAGAAGTTGAGCTCTTAACGACTGTGTCACCGGGGCTCCCTTAGGGAGAGACAGGTCCAAGAATTATAGCTGTCTTAAATGACGTAAGTGATAATAAAAATAGGAATCATGTCTGTACACTTTTTGATATTCAAATGTAATGAATATTGTATACCATAGAGTCCTGGAAGTGCTGTAGTTAAGAGCTTAGGCTGCTAACTAAAAGGTTGGCAGTTCGAATCCACCAGCTCCTCCTTGGAAACACTACGGGCGGTTCTCCTCTGTCCTGTAGGGTCGCTATGAGTCGGAATCGACTGGACAGCAAAGGGTTTAGTTTTTGGTATTTTGCAGTGTTTCTCAAAATGCATTTCACTGAACTCCATTTACTTAGGATACTTGATTAGAAGGTGGCTGGCTCCCTGGACAAATACTTTTGGGAAACTCTACATATACCAAATTCTCTTGAAGAGCCCCAATAATTTTTGTGTATTAAATTGTAGTGAACTTAAAAGTCCTTTAATAATGAAAGATGCTTCATTCTGTTTAACTCAGAATTTTCCAAATTGATTTGATCCTGATTTGATGATTTTTACAAAATATTTATGACATCCCCAGAGGGAGTTTTGCATAGAAGAAGGTGTGGGAAATGCTGTTATAATGTTACTTTAATAAAATTCACTCCAAAAGTGTAGATAAGCATTTTCAATAAGCTGAAAAGCCTTTGTTGTTTTGTTTCCTGTCCTTTATCTCTTATTAACTATAGTCATACACGTGGACAGCTATGCCTGTTTTCCCCCAAAGACTTCTTCTTTCATTTCTATTTCCTCAACACCAACCCCCGGGGTTTGTCAAATGGAAATCACAAGTAGAGTTTCCTCTTGTAACAATAAGCTCGTCAGATAGTAAAATAATGCTACACTGAACTCCAGGCCAGGCAGCAGGCTTAGAAGTAATTGGGTGTGTTCAAACCTGATCTATGCCGCTCTCATTTTCTTATGCACCTGTCGAATTGTTGTTCAAAAACAGTGTTTTGTTAATGCTTACAACCTTAAAGCTTCATGTTTCCAGATGTATCTCTGCAGCCAAAGCAATTTTTCATCTAATTCTGGGCTGGAAGGATTGCTTTTTTTTTCTTTTTTTTTTTCATTTTAAACAAATGATTTTTTTCTTGTAAAATGTGTTTCTGAAATATAATATCACTGGCCTTCTTTTCAATATAATTAATGTTATAGTAACATAGATTCTTTACTGAGACATATTCTTCACCTGTATTTTTTCAATTCTTGTTTCGGTAAAAAATTTATTCAGATGAAATGACATCAAACTTTGTTTTATTTTCAGGGTACAAAATTCACTCGCATACTATTTCTTGTTTGAACCACAGGATTCACTGAAATCGTCTTTGTTATTATCTCTATTTCAGAGAAAAGAAGTTAATGTTTATATCTTTATTAAGCTATGACAATCTGAGAAGAAATCTGAGCCCAAGTCTTTTGATTCCACATCCTTTGCTAATTTAGAGGGCTGTATGGTAGCACATTGGTTAAGATTGGCAGTTCGAATCCACCAGCCACTCCTTGGAAACCCCATGGGGCAGTTCTACTCTGTCCTATAGGGTCACTATGAGTTGGAGTCAACTCGAGGGCAACGGGTTTGGTTTTGGTTTGGTATGTATGTATAAAAGAGCCTTGGTGGAGCAATGGTTAAGTGCTCGGCAAGAGAAAGATCTGGCAATCTGCTCCCATAAAGATTATAGCCTTGAAAACCCTATGGGGCAGTTTACTCTGTCACGTCAGTTTGCTGTGGGTTGAAAATTGAATGGACGGCACCTAACACCAACAGCATGTATGTATAAGGTCCCTGGGTGGCACAGATGGTTTGCACTTGACTACTAACCGAAAAGTTGGTGGTTCAAACCCCCCCAGAGTTGCCGTGGAAGAAAGGCCTGCCAATCTGCTGCCTTAAAGATTCCAGGCAAGAACACCCTATGGAGCAGTTCTAGTCTGTAACACATGAAGTTGCCATGAGTTCGAATCGACTTGATAGAAACAGTTTTGGTTTTGGTTTGTGGTTCATATATGTATAATCTCTAAATAGATTACTTACTGTTTATATCGTTTTGATTGCATAGCACAGAAGCAGCAACTTGGTTGATTTTTCTTTTTATTGTTTTTTAATATTCTTCCTAAATAATTTGGGTTGTTGTTTGTTTTCTAATTGCTCAGGGTTGGTGCAAATGTCCAGTTCTCCTGTGAGGACAGTTATGTGCTCCAGGGCTCCAAGAGCCTCACCTGTCAGAGGGTCACAGAGACACTCGCTGCGTGGAGTGATCACCGGCCAATCTGCCGAGGTGAGGTGCATGCTCGGGGACATGGCCTATGTCTTCTTTTACTTTAGGGTCAAGCATGTCTTTTCCTGAACGCACAGTGAGATTCAAGTGTGAAGCACTGTAAATAGAGCAGAATGTAGAAATGATATATATTTTCATAGTGATGTGGGTTAAAGAAATGTTTTCTTGAAAATTGTTAGGAGGCCAAAATTTTCAGTGATATTGGTGGTTTTACATTTCAAAAAAAATACGAATAAACCTGATAATTCAATCTCACACACCCACACTCAACACATCTTAGTATTCCTCTATCTATAAATATACACATTATGCACGCATATGAATATATGTTGCATAACCAGATCCTTTGGAAAGTTCTATGTGTGACCCTGAAAATCTAAAAATTCTCACCTTTTAAACACAGTGAGTTTATATTTTTTTTGGTATTGATTATCTCCATGATAAAGGGATTTTATTAATATGATTCCCAATCATAATGTTATTAATAAATTATCATAAACTAATCTGCGATATAGTTAGCTGGGAAGAGGTAAAAATATTTATTCAACATGTTCATGAACCATATGAACAATCTTACCGGAATTATAGAAACTATAGTGAAACCAGCATAAAACTGTTCTGGATATTTTAATAGAGACACACTGATGAAGATCAACTGAAAAATTGGTTTTAAAAATTTTGGCCATAAAATAATTTATGAAAACTGGTAGTTTTGAAGGGAAAATAAAAGATATCTAACTTGACCAAGGAAACAAGCAAACAAATTGAAGTTTTATATATAAGAATATCTTCTCCTTCCTGTAGTCTTTGTTAGGCGAATGGATTCGTGTATTCTTCTTTTTTACTACAACTTGTGAAATAAAGTAGTTGCCAGGTACTTGGCTAACTTTACCTAAGTTAAAAATACTATATCGTAGAATTTACTATATTATACTGCTTTACCTGTAGCCAGTTGGGACCTGGTAAATGTAGAGGACACGGATTTGTATTATTTATCTGCACCCTGAGACAAGGATGAGTGTGTGGACTGGCTAGCAGGGTAATTGTTTCCTTTTATTTCTACGACTCTGTTAAACGGAGGCCCTTCACAAAGAAGGACCATTCTTTGGTCAAGAAAACGTGAGTGACTAGACCCTTTTGCTTTGTTTCCACTAGCCTACTTTGACTGTATGTTTTCTAATATTAAAATAAGATTATAAAACTTTCATGTACCAAAATGTAAGTTGCCCTCAGGTGGCAGTAATGTGCAATGCCCTTAATTGTAAATGAGGACTAAGACACAGGTATTATTTTTCCCAAAAGGAAAAAAAAAACAATCATTTTATTCTGTAATATTTTTTTCTTGCCTTATGTATCAGAAACACACTTCACTTCTTTTAAAACCCAAACTAAACAAATAGTGAGTATACATCCATTTTAAAATTGATATTTTAGAGTTACAAAAAGGAAATATGTGTATAGAGTAACCGAAAGGATATGTATGGTTCTTATTTATTGATCCATGGGTTTATAATGCTTAATAACTTAATAATAATAACTTAACAATAAAAACTTAACGATACTTGTCTTAAATCTCATCTTAGACTCAAAATGCTTCTCAGTATCCTGACCCCAACTTATAATCTGTCTTGTTATCAAAACACACTGAGGTGTTTATCTCTTAGCAAGCAGCTCTCTATCCAGGCTAAAAGGTGGTGGACTTTCCCCTCACCCTGCTCAGTCCTCCAGGCGAAAGGTGGTGGACTTTCCCTTCACCCTGCTCAGTCCTCCAGGCGAAAGGTGGTGGA